TAACCCTAACCCTCCCTTAGAGAGGCCGGATAACCCTAACCCTAACCCTAACCCTCCCTTAGAGAGGCCGGATAACCCTAACCCTAACCCTAACCCTTCCCTAGAGAGGCCGGATACCCCTAACCCTAACCCTCCCCCAGAGAGGCCGGATAACCCTAACCCTAACCCTCCCCTAGAGAGTCCGGATAACCCTAACCCTCCCCTAGAGAGGCCAGATAACCCTAACCCTAACCCTCCCCTAGAGAGGCCGGATAACCCTAACCCTAACCCTAACCCTCTCCTAGAGAAGCCGGATAACCCTAACCCTAACCCTTCCCTAGAGAGGCCGGATAACCCTAACCCTCCCCTAAAGATGCTGGATAAACCTAACCCAGGCTGTGCCCCATCATCCCGGGTTAGGGTTAGGGTAAGGGTAGAATGACTGGAGAAGTTTTAGGACACAGGCTTTGAACTCGCTGCCCTTCAAAGTTTCCAGGATCTTGATGTTCAAGGTAGATCTGCAGTGAAAATGGAAGACCGAGCCTGATTGGTTCATCCGCGCTCTTGAGGTCAAGCCTTGAAACATGCAGCTCCCCGATTGGTCAGTCGGCTGCAGTGATTCCTTATTGCGTATATGTAAACAGCATCTTTCTCATTCATTTGCCAAACTAAAAAAAAAAAGTGATTATCCTGTTTCAATAAATAAAAGCAGACTCCTCCTCCTCCTGTTGTCAGAAAATCAGACTCCAACTCCTCCTGATTTCAGAAAATCAGACTCCAACTCCTCCTGATATCAGAAAATCAGACTCCAACTCGTCCTGATGTCAGAAAAACAGACTCCTCCTCCTTCTGATGTCAGAAAATCAGACTCCAACTCCTCTTGATATCAGAAAAACAGACTCCTCCTACTCCTGTTATCAGAAAATCAGACTCCTCTTCCTCCTGATGTCAGAAAATAAGACTCCAACTCCTCCTGTTGTCAGAAAATCAGACTCCTCCTCCTTCTGATGTCAGAAAAATCAGACTCCTCCTCCTTCTGATGTCAGAAAATCAGACTCCTCCTCCTTCTGATGTCAGAAAATCAGACTCCTCCTCCTTCTGATGTCAGAAAATCAGACTCCTCCTCCTCCTG